TACTCCCCAAATTATATCAAATTATAGCTGTTTTAAAACAGTGAAAATATTGGGGAAATGATGATTTACAGTAAATCACTGTAAATCATGATCTTTTTCCCGAGAGCGTCTGAGCGCAGGGTTCTTCCAATAGTGGGGGTCTGTATCACATCTTCTCTCACACCTTCTCATCTTCACATCTTCTCTCACACCTTCTCATCTTCACATCTTCTCTCCCACCTTCTCATCTTCACATCTTCTCTCACACCTTCTCATCTTCACATCTTCTCTCCCACCTTCTCATCTTCACATCTTCTCTCCCACCTTCTCATCTTCACATCTTCTCTCACACCTTCTCATCTTCACATCTTCTCTCACACCCTCTCATCTTCACATCTTCTCTCACACCTTCTCACCTTCACATCTTCTCTCACACCTTCTCATCTTCACATCTTCTCTCACACCTTCTCATCTTCACACCTTCTCATCTTCACATCTTCTCTCACACCTTCTCATCTTCACATCTTCTCTCACACCTTCTCATCTTCACATCTCTCACACCCTTCTCATCTTCACACCTTCTCTCACACCTTCTCATCTTCACATCTTCTCTCTCTCTCTCATTCTCTCTCCTTTCTCTCTCCCCTTTCTCTCTCCTTTTTCTCTCTCTCGCCTTCTTTATCTTTCTCTCTTTAGGCCGAGGGTGGTACCGTCAAAAACTGAGGAAAAATTGCGATTTTACTTGTCCCGGAGCAACCCTTTCGCACGAAATGAGGGTCGATCGTCAAAAACTGAGGAAAAATTGCGATTTTACTTGTGCTAAAACAACCCTTTCGCACGAAATGAGGGTCGATCGTCAAAAACTGAACTGGGGGGGGGGGTTGTGAAACTAACTTGGAAACTGGGACTGGGGACTTGTTAACTTTTAGCTTGTCCCCCTGACTTCTTTCCACCTTTCCACTTATCCCTTGCCTTTTTGAGGGGAATTCTTTTTTGTTATTTTTTTTGAACCCCCTTTGCCTTGGATGACCCTTTTGCCCCTTTATCTTAGAGGGAGCCTTACTCCTTAGATATGGAAGGGGCTGAGGAAAAATTGCGATTTTACTTGTGCCGGAGCAACCCTTTCGCACGAAATGAGGGTCGATCGTCAAAAACTGAGGAAAAATTGCGATTTTACTTGTGCCGGAGCAACCCTTTCGCACGAAATGAGGGTCGGTCGTCAAAAACTGAAGAAAAATTGCGATTTTACTTGTGCCGGAGCAACCCTTTCGCACGAAA